TTTTCTATGTAAAAAAAATTTTAAATATTTTTAAAAACGTTTAAATTTTTAGAAATTTCGAGAATAGAAGTATCATTAATTTCTCAGTTACTACATAATGTAATATATCTTCAAAAAAATAAAAAATCAAAGCAAAAGCTTTATACTTTAAGAAGAATTCAACGTGATTTTTTTTCACAAAGTTATGATAAGACTTATATTTTTAATTATTTTAAAAACTTGTTCAAATTACGCAAGTGCGACTATTTGACATTTCAGAATTGAATCTGATCGGATAATTTTGATCGAACTCGAGCGAATACTTAAGACACTGAGAGACGAGGATCGCGCAGCTTATTTCGCTACTTTCATCATTCCATGGACAGAACCGATCGATGGAGCAATAACAAAATATGACAACCATGTCAAATTTTTAGATTTGACAACTATGCTTTCATCAGAAAATCCTAAACTCTTCCTTTAACTCGCTTTTCATTTGTCATTCTGCACGATGACAATCGTGATGAAGGCACTTGGAAAAAAAAATGAGAATGAGCAGTATTCAATGAGAATATATCATTTTGAATTCGTATAAAATTTCAATATGTTAAAATATTCATTATGTCATTAAATATCATTAAATTCTTGACAAAATTGTAAAGAAATTCCGTAGTATACCACAGAATTCACGTGGTAGTAGAGGTATAAACATAGGTGTAGAGGACTATAGTTTCTAAAAGAAATGAGGCTACTGTCTTATGTCACAGACATATGAATACATATACCTCGTCTGTGCTTATGTCAAACAAAATGATGATCAGCGGGAGAGACTGATTGTGAGATCAGCAGGAAAGAGTAATTCGATGAGAGCTCTCGAACGAATTGGACGAACTTCTTCGAATATACATCAATCATATAATTTATCAAATTTACAAAATTATTCTGCAAATCTATTTTTTAGTTATTTTATATTAATTCTTGCACAATGAATGCCAGATTATTGTGTTTGTTTGACTGTAAATAGGTATCCCTACTGTTTTAACGTGAAATTCAATCTCGTTAATGAAACGTTTCGTTCCGAAAAAAATTTCTCTGAATTAAATGATTGGAAAGAAATTCAGATGATTAAACTTTAATTTTTATACTCTAATTATTTTATAAGAATATCAATAAAAATATTAGAGTTCAGTCACTTTCACTTGAAATGTTGTAAAAATGACTTTGAAAAAAATTCTTTCCACTTTCAATGAATATGCTTAAAATAATGCAACTTTATCTCGAACATTTTCTTCATAAAAATAAAAATACAGCAGATATATATTTCCATTTAAAAACTGTATCCTGTGTAAAATTTGAAGCGCTTTCAAGAAACATTGATTTTTTTTTGACCCTAGTATTTTTATATTCACAATAGCACGTAGAAAAAATTCTATCGTGGAAAAAGAAATCATAGAGAGCTATTTAAAAAACAATAAACAACGTCTCATTAATTAAATTTTCATTCATTTATTGTGATTGTATTATACATATATATGTTTGATCGTTTCTGGATTCAATTCAATAAATAATTTTCGATGAGGAAACGGCAACACTATCCATATTTTTTGATTTTAATTTCGATCACCAATAGTGCTGTAGTGCAACACTTACCTAAGCTGATATGACAGGATGTGACACGAAAATGGTAAAGGAGTCATATGACCTCCCAAAACCTGGGACACGAAAAAGCATTGGATGTCCAGTCTATGCTAGTTAGTCAATGCTTCGAGCTGGGACTTTTCATGTTTTCTACTTGTCAGATGGCGACCCTTTTTTTTGTTATGAAAAATGTAATCGATTCACGGTACTGACATCAAACACAATTTTAATCACCGACTCGGTCTCTTTCATTATTTCCGGCCATGTCAATGGAAAGCAGAAGGGTCTATAAAAAGATAAAAAAGATGGCCGAGAAAGATGAACGCATTGAATTTCCGTTATTGAATCGTAATTTGCAATTCGACTCGAATAAAACGCCCACTTAGAAGACAATATTAAAAATGTATCGCAGTCAAGGTACAAGAAATTGTAAAAAAGGATTAACATATAAAATTAGTGAAGAGTTTGACAAAAAAAGATAACAAAAAATAACGAAAGAAACTACGTTTATTCCCCGTAGACTCGGGGATTTTACATACATATATATAATTCTAGAAATAAAATACTTATTCGATGTTGACACATTCGAGAATGTGATATCGAATATTCGACAAGAGACATGTTCACGCGATGAGCGTCCGAGTCATCAATTTTAAAACCATGTATCAAATTTAATCAAAAGAATTGTCGGTATTGAACTGACAGGAGGCCATGCCAACGCATTTGTAAGTAATACCGTGCTCACAAAAACAAATAATTAGAAAACATGTTCGGAAAATACTCTGTCCTCGAATAAAATCCAAGAAACAGAAGGAAGTGTTATGTCCAGAGAACGAACGTAAAGGATCTTGCAAGCAAATCGAAGATGCGTGTTGTACTTCGAAACGCATGCAATCAGTGACATGTCCGTTTAAACAAATGGAGAAAAAATGCATTCAAGGAAAAACGTGTTCAGGAAGGGAACGTAAAACGTCATCGAGGTGTTGTCCAAAATACAAGAGCAATCGAATTCAAAAGTTGGAGTACGAAGTAATATATAATTTTCACACGGATCGATTGGTTCGCTGACTTTTTATTGATAATTCATTCATCTGTATAAAACATTCCCGACTATAAATTCTTCCTCTGCTAGTTAGAGTTTTCGTTGAATAGTGAGGATTTTCGGATAATCAGTCAATTAATTCGATGAGAACATCTTTGCGTAACAATAAAATAGTTGCTTCATTCATAGGTATACCAATTACGGAAAGAGATCGAGTGCATGAAATACGAGCGAAAAGAGGCAGAGAAGGCAATTCAGAAAGCCATTCTTTCAGGCACCCGCATTCTTGGCGGAAGATTTAAATCTACGGTCGATCCAGGATCGATCGAAAAATTTGTAAATATTTGCAACAGCAACGCGTCTTTTCAGTCTGCGTGCCCGGTGACTCTCTATACAAAAGCTGTGTATCATCGACCATTAAGATATGTCACAACAAAACTTGGAAGAAGGGGAAAGAATTGGATTATTGCGAAAATTGCGCCTATTAGTTTCTCTAAATTTCGTATAGACTAATCGATAAAATTCTTCTTTTTCGACTTATTGAAATCCCGTAAAAGTTGCGCTATTGTGGTAAACTTATTTGAAATACATTGGATATTGATTGAATAATGTTCGTAATTAATTATTTTCACGATCAAGAATAAATGAAAATAATAATCAACGAATAAAACATCGTGATATAGTTATTATATTCCAGACGAGTTTTATTACATGGTAATAATTTCCTACGTAACACGTTAATTAATAAACGGGTAAGAGCGTGCGGGGTGGACCCGACGTCGATTTAATTACATGTAATCGTACGCGTACGTACCACATACGCACTAACGGTGCTTTAGTCGCGTAGGCTTGACGTATACGTACGTACCGACGTACCTCACCATCGGAATGGCATCGTTAACACTGATAATCTTATATACCGGAAATTTCAGTATATACTTGGTTTCATACCTAGTGCGAAAATAATTAACGAAATATCAAAGAAACATTTTGTTCTGAAAGCCCGATGAAAACCCGATCCTGAACAATTCATCGGAATCATTAAGATTTAAATTGACGAACTGAATGTTTCGTTTAGCTGTGATTCCCAAGGTACCGCGAGCAGCCAGAATGTCATGGCTGCATCAAATGTAACGGGACACAATTTATCGAATAATTTTCTTCCGTTAATGATATAATGTGAAAAAACGATGAAATGTTATATCGTACTAATAAATCAGAGTAACCGTTCCTTGTTTATGTACATCATGATGCAGCTTCGTTGTATTTTATCGATCATTGATTGTCAATGATGAGTCTTGATATTCAATCCGTAAATGTAATGATAATCATAGTCCGCCAGTTCGATTTCAGTTATTGTTTCAGTTCGATTTCAAGTCTCTTTTTAATGATCATGCTCAAAAAAGTGATAAATAAATGAACTGTACTGTTACAAAATAAAATTTCCGTCGAATATTCGTTTCTGCGAATTTTTGTACATGGTTTTAATCCTTGGTTTGTAGGGACAAAGTCTAATCCGTTACGTAAAATTTTCAAAGAACACTTTTCAGCACGCAGAAGTGAAAATAGAAAAATCACGAACAGAAACAAAAAGAAAACAAATAAATATGAATAATTAAAAGGCGCAGAATGTTTTGTCAATTCAATGAGAATTAAAATAAAATTTAATTCTCGGTTTATTCTGGCTGGCAGTAGTGTATCAACTATAAAATTGGCTCTCGATTTGAGTAAATAAACGGGGTGTGGTCGATAAGATCCGTTTTGTGTTACTTGGTCAAAACGAGGCTGTAAAACCTGTCGTGGTACGGTTGTAGAAAGCCGCATTGTAAATTGATGGCGATAAAATCTACTCATCTCTCGGTTTATTCGGCTCGAGCCAAGCATACCGTGGCTGTCTGTGGCATTATGTAGCGCGTACCAGCGAAATGGCAAGATTATTTTAAGGCGTATCTCGTTCTTATACGATTTCGCATACCTCCTTCCAGATCTTCTGTTTCTCGTCTTGGGGTTTTCACGTTTAACTAGGGTATAAGTTAGCCTCGGTGGAAGTAAGCACTCTGACCAGCCAACGAATAAGCAAGCAACTAAGAAAGAGAAGAACCCGTGTCCACTGATGGTTCCTTTGCGATATCGTTCTTGGTAAATATTAGGTATTCTGCCAACTAGAAAACGGTCCAATGTTTTCATTTAATATCCTGTGAATGTTGAGTAGACTCACAACCGGCATTCACGGAAAAGATTGCGAGAGCCATTTTCCGTGACGATGTCGTCTTTGAGATAAAATACCCTGAGAAAGATTTGTATGAACCGCTGACAAGGCACGTCTTACAATTTAAAGGGGTTGTTATAGTAATCTTGGCAATATAGCGGGGTTGTAAAATCGGTGTAGCATCAACCCTGTCGTATTTCATCTAACAGATCTATGTGAAATCTTTTTACAAAGAAATATCGTAAAATAAATTAAAATTTATTTTCAACGAAGGAGTATCGTAAAATCGTCTGTATTCCTTTGAGTGTAAGAAATTTCAACTAATAGTTCTCAATTTGAACTAATATTCTCTTTCATCTCTTGGTTTCGATGAAACTGAAATTTTTATAAAAAAAAAAGTAAAAGATATATGATGCAAAGATTAATGTATCATTTCATGATAATTTAATTTAAGTTTGTGTTGTCGCAGC